AATCATCATTCTTGCCAGATCCAACCGTCTCTTTCTTATTTAACTTGTCTCCTCCATTCTGGCATCCCTGTCTGCAGCGTTGGAAATCTTGATGCTCGGAAGGAAAAGAGAAACAGTCGCTCATGTTTTGAGGGGAAAAAAAAGCCACTTTATTCCGTTCCTGAATATGGTTTCAGGTGGCAAAGAAATTCTACTACGTTGTTAATGGAGATACACATGTGTAGTTACTCGGTCTTGTGGCTATGCTGTCCCGTGCTATGTTTTGGAAATTTACTATATCAGTGTTTCTCAACCCTGGCCCCTTACAAATGGCTTCAATTCCCAGGATTCCCTAGCCTGGCCTTGCTGGCTAGGGAATTCTGGGATTTGAAGTCCACACATTTGACAGTAGCCAGGGCTAGGGTTAGGTTGAGCAACACTGTATGATAGGCATAGTTAAAACTTGCAATATATATTTTTTTTCATCAAAATAAAAGAGTTACGCATTTCACGAATGAAGACAAATGTTATGGTTATGCATTTTTACAAACATTTTTTTTCATTAAAATGAATGTTTATTCATTTGTCCCTCTCCTACAGAAAGCTTTTCCAAACGCTGTGTTTTGTAGCCTGAATCTTTATATAAAAATACTGATGAAATTGTAAGGTCCTAATCTCCTACATTTTATAATATAGAAAGCAGATGCATAGAGCTACTTAGGTTACAGTCTGAAACAATTTTCTATTTCTCTAAAAATAATATTCAAAGGACCATCATCTTATAGAGGGGGGAGAGGGAGGAGGGGAGGGAGAGAGAGAAGGAGAAAGAAAGAAAAAAAAGAAAAAAAGAGAAAAAGAAAGAAAAAAATAACAAAGAAAAGAAACAGAAGGAAAGAAAGAAAAGAAACAGGAGGAAGGAAGGAAGGAAGGAAGGAAGGAAGGAAGGAAGGAAGGAAAGAAAGAAAGAAAGAAAGAAAGAAAGAAAGAAAGAAAGAAAGAAAGAAAGAAAGAAAAAGAAAGAAAGAAAGAAAGGAAAAAAGAAAGAAAAGAAACAGAAGGAAAGAAAGAAAGAGAGAGAGAAAGAAAGAAAGAGAAAGAAAGAAAGCCATGCAGGTCCCTGGCTTGTATATTCAGCCTGACTCAGGGTAGTAAGATTGTAATCTAGTTTATTTGAGAGACCCCAGTTTGTGGGGAGAAATGTTTATAAGAATAGTCACACAGTCAATGATTGACAAAACAATTGAGAATCCAGTTCATTTCATTAATTTAATTATTTCAAGTATCCCATGCATTGCTTCTTGGAGATACGAGTGCAAAGTTTTAACATGCTTATAATTTATTTACTAATGATGAAGTTAACCATTGTTTACTCCATCCAGTTTGCACAGGTGGGCTTGCCTAAGAAGCCAGACAAAAAGGTGGTTTCAGTTTTTGAGGTTGTGCAAATCCAGCTACAGGAATTACAGGAAGATAAGGACAAACAAGTTACCCCATAATTCTTTTACCAATTTAAATCAGTGTTCATGACAGATTAGAGCAGATATATCCTTCAGCAATGGGATTTCTTTAACTGAAGCTGGTTCTCCAATACCTTTTGCAAATGTTTGACCAGATTTACCTACCAAGTTTAAATTCGTTTATAAATAAACTGCGGGGGAGTTGTATCAGCACAAAACACAAGCTTTTGAAACTTACAAATCAAAAGGTTTCATGCAAGCCATAAGGTGCGGTGTTTTAATCCGCTTGTCAAGATTCATAAACAGAATATGCCCTCTCCCTTTCTCTTAACAGGACTTTGTACCTTCTGCTGTAGAACTTATTTTAATGCTGTGCCTTTTGAAAATCTGGAATAAACAGCCATTTGTGGCATATGTGCTTTGCCTGTGCAATGACTGTTTAAAGTTAATCCTCTTTCAAAGAACAGACGTCAATTATATATAGAAATACAGAATTCTTTATTGGCCAAGTGTGATTAGATACACAAGGAATTTGTTTCTGGTGCATAAGCTCTCAGTATACATACAACAATAGTGATAAGCAAAAATGTTATAGTCATAAGATAAAGACATAGGTGAATTCTGAATGTTATAAGTGTCGTTGGTTTTCAATAAACAATTTGTCCTTGCTTGTAAGATGGAACTGCATGGCTAATGACTCAGTTATCCGACAAGCCTCTATAAACCTTTCTGGCCAATAAAATTGGTTGCAAGGCCTTTACTGGGTTTGTAGCCATTTTGCCTTCTTATTTAGAAACAGGATTTTTTGTCATCAACTATTGGACGAGGAAGTAAGGTAATGCTTGACTTACAACCACTAATTTACCGATGTTCGAAGTTACAACGGCATTGTAAAAAATGACTTACGATCAGGTTTCACCCTGACGATCGTTGCAGCATTCAAAATGGATCAAATTTGGACAATCAAAATTTGGACGTTTGGCAACTTGTTTGTATTTATGACAATTGCTATGTCTGGGATTCATTTTGTGAATTTCTGACAAGCAAAGTCAGTGGGGAAGCCATCTTGTCGTTTAGCAGTGGAAATTTGGGCTCCAGATGACAAAAGCTTGCTGCACGCTCATTCTGAATGGCTGCAAATCGTGACTTCATTGAGAAACTTTGTACCCTGGAGGCTGAGTTTGGCATGCTTCTGGGATTTTGCTAGCAGGCTCCCTTATCTCACAGGAAATGGAGCCTGTGTTAAATGACAACTATAAACAAAAGGGATTTTCCCTGCACTCCTGAGAGAGTTTTCGAGAGAGCAATGGAGAATTTTAAGGGACTGGTTAGTCTCTGTGGTACTTGACTCGCTTACAAATTGTCACCAGGTTGCCTAATTTGACGATGCGCTGCACAGATACCATGAATAAACCTGTATCTTTGTAAATAAATCGATTACAACATAAAGACATTGCAAAATGCTAACCAGACTCCAGTGATTTTTTTTCCTAAAGGAAAAGCAAACAAAGCCTGGAAAACAGATTGCAAAACTGGACCTTTACCAGTTGGAGAAACAGGCTGTGTGCAATGGAGGTTGGAATTCAGAATAGAGGTGGAAGGGATCTCAGAGGTCTTCTAGTCCACCCTCCTACTCAACAGGAGACCCTATAAAATTTGAGGCAGTGGCTGTCCAGTCTGTTAAAAGCCTCCAGTGTTGAAGCGTCCGCAACCTCTGGAGGCAAGCAGTTCTACTGCTTAGTTGTCCTAACTGTCAGGAAACTTGCTTCTCCTTTATTAAGGGTCTTTGAAGTTTACCTTCAGGATCTGGCCTTACAAAGAGCAGTCAGGGTCGATCGCCTCTAGGACTGACCGGTTTGGTCACCTTGCAGTCCAAGGGACTCTCAGGAGTCTTACAATTAGAATTAGAATTCTTTTTATTGGCCAAGTGTGATTGGACACACAAGGAATTTGTCTTGGTGCAAATGCTCTCAGTGTACAAAAAAGAAAAGATACATTCATCAAGAGTCAAGAATCATCAGGTACAACACAATAATAGTCATAGGGTACAATAAGCAATCAAATCATACTAGGATATAAATCGTAGGATACAAGCAACAAAGTTACAGTCATACAGTCACAAGTGGGAGGAGATGGGCGATAAGTGATGAGAAGATTAATAGTAATAGTAGTGCAGACTGTGTTGAGGGAATTATTTGTTTAGAAAAGCGATGGCGTTCAGGAAAAAACTTGTGTCTAGTTGTTCTGGTGTGCAGTGTTCTATAGCGTCATTTTGAGGAAAGGAGTTGAAACAGTTTATGTCCGGGATGAGACGGGTTTGTAGATATTTTCTCAGCCCTCTTTTTGACTCGTGCAGTATGCAGATCCTTGATGGAAGGCAGGTTGGTAGTAATTTTTTTTCTGCAGTCCTAATTATCCTTTGAAGACTGTGTCTGTCCTTTTGGGTTGCAGAACCAAACCAGAGAGTTAGAGAGGTGCAGAGGACAGACTCCATCATTCCTCTGTAGAACTGGATCAGCAGCTCCTTGGGCAGTTTGAGCTTCCTAAGTTGGTGCAGAGAGAACATTATTTGTTGTGCTTTCTTGATGTTTTTGATGTTAGGTGTCCATTTTAGGTGATGTGATATAGTAGAACCTAGAAATTGGAAGGTCTCTACTGTTGATACTGTGTTGTCTAGTATTGTAAAAGGTGGGAGTATGAGAGGGTTTCTCGTAAACTCTACCACCATTTCTACAGTTTTGAGTGTGTTCAGTTCCAGATGGTTCCGGTTACACCACAAGTCTTATCCAGCACCAGAGTTCAAAGGCCTCCATTCTTTTTTGGTAGCCACCCCAAATACTGGAAGACTCCTATCATGTCACTCCTAGCTCTTCTTTTCTCTAGATTGGCCATACCCCATGATGAGATCATGCATCAGTTTCCTTGCAGCATAAGGACTTGGTTAACTGGTGAAAAACTCTTGACTTCTGCTCCACAAAGGGAATTCTGGGAATTCAAATCCACTCCATGCTGGCTGGGGAATTCTGGGATCTGAAGTCAACGTGCCTTAAAATAAAATCTCCAAAGTTGGGAGAAAACTCTGGTTTATACTGTATTCTCTGAATTCCCAAACCAAATGAATTCAGGCCCAGGTTAACACATTAACCCAGTTTGCAAAACGCTGGAAATATAACATTAGTTGCCTCTGGTTAACAAAACAGAAATTCGCCTCCCAAGACCCAAGTCAGCCATTTTGGGAGCGGCCTCCTGTGCGATTCTCAGCCTCAAGGCAGGCAGGCATTCAACAGGTATAGCTCGATCGACGTTTTTTTATCACCCTCGGCGTCGTCGTCTCGTAAACCACCCCTTCCCTTCCTCCTTCTTTAGTCGGCTTCGCTTTCTTCCCATCTTTTCCCTCCTGCCCAGCCCTCAAACGCCAGCAATTTTCGAAGCAGGCGTTTACGAAGGCCACCCCGCATTCCTTTTTTTTTTTTCCTCCCCTGGTTGCTAAGAAACCGCGCCCTTGAGTGAAGGCCCGGTCGCCGTCGCGGGTTGCCAAGCGTCACTTCCGGCGTTGCTCCGGAAGCGGCGAATGCGCTTGGTCACGGACTTGGAAGCGGGTGCTGCTCGAAGAAAGCTCCGTGCTCGTTTCGCCTTTTCTCCGTTCCGGGAGCCCCGAGCCGGCCCGGACCGCCCCGCGACGGCGCCATGATCACCTCAGCCGGTAAGCGAGGCCGCGGTCGGCCCGGAGGGAAGGCCGGGATCGTTTCCGCTGAGTCAGGCATGGCCCGAAGAGAGGCTTTTATTCTGGGGCAGCCGCCGCCGCCGCTCCCTTCGTTGCAGCCCCACCCCACCCCGGGCTCCTTCCCCCCCCCCATCCCCCCCCCCCCCCCGGTCGCTCCCGCGGGGGCCGCCTGTGGAGATTCTCAGCCGCCTGGGTGCTTTGCTCAAGAGGCGACTGGACTTGGGAAACTCGCAGGGTTTCTTTTGTTTTCTTTTTTGGCATCTGCCTGCCTGTCTATATCTAATTATATCATCTCTATGTCTGTCCGTGTCTATAGCGATCATCTCTCTCGCTCAACTATCTATTAGCTATCTATCTAAATCTAATCTACCAGAATAGAGCTGGGAGGCACCTTGGAGGTCTTCTAGTCCAACCTCCAGCTCAGGCAGGAAACCCTACACCTGTCTCGTCTCTTCTTAAAAACTTCCAGTATTGAACATTGACAACATTCATCCATCTGTCATCTATATCTATTCATCCATCCGTCCAACCATCCATCTATCCATCCACTATCATCTATATCTATCTATCCATCCATCATCTATATCCATCTATCAT